GACGTTATAGTTACCGGTTTAGGTAGACAAGCCTGTGCTCCAAGAAGAATTGAAGACCAGGTTAAAATTTCTATTATAGAAGCCAGATTCGCTATTCCGACTACGAGCAAAAGTAAGGGGCAGAGGCGCCGGGGGTCAGTCACCGGGTGCTGCTGCAAGAGCGCAGCCCTGTCTTAGGGTGTTTTCCTACGTGTGCATCTCCATCGCCTGATCTCAGACCGAAGAGGGACTGGTGCGAGTCGCTGCGGCATTATCTATTCCCCGGTTTCGCCCAAATCGAAACTTAACGAGAACAATATATCTTTGATCTGTAATCTTGAGAAGTTTTAGTTAGATTAAACTCGGCCAAGCCCGATGCAAAACGGGTTTTCAAGGTTCTCTACTCTCCTCGCATCTTTTGATTTCGCGACACCCTGTCCACTACAATCAAATTTTTGTGCATGCGCAGTACTAGGATACCTTCCTTTAAAGTCCCTATATGATTAGCTCAGATGACCGCTTTATAGAGATGTTCTAAAATTTCACATGCTAAACGAAACTAAAATCAAACTAGAATGTAAAAAATTGCATGGATCGGGAAAATGCATGTTTTTATTGAATATAACTACAAAAAACATCAGTATAAACCAAGTTGCCGTTAACGCGACAACTAGGCCCAAAAATTCATCACCTCTCTCTAAGAAGCTCAAGAACTCCGAAATAGTCCTAATTAAGGAGAATGATAGGTATTGGCTTGAGGTTTATTGAGAGAAAGGAGGAAGTACAAGTTTTGGGTTGGTTGCACTGTAAGCTGTTACGTAAAATGGGACGGAACGTGGGATATATGCGTTATTGACCAAGTGTGAGGAGGCCATAGATGGCTCCATCGTCTAGGTTCAGTGAAACCATGATATAATGAACCTCCATATAACGAAGTCCTTGGTACAACGAACGATTTTCTTTTCCACAGTACAGTAAAACATATGAAAAAGGAGCTCCATATAACGAAACCTCTTTATAGCGAACAGATTTTGCCAGTCCCTTGAGCCTTCGTTGTATCGAGGTTCCACTATTCATAAAAACGAAAAAAAAGTAACAAGTCAATATCCAGCTAACTTGACCGAACAATCTTGGTTAATGGAGGTTTATTACTTAGCCAAAACAGACCCAAAAAGAACTTTTCCTTGACAAAATTGTTCGCTGAAGCTTGAAATTGGCCAAGAGGGCCAAGACTTTTACACTGTCCTTAGCAAATCGGACACAAAAATAAAATGAATCAAAATGCCTGAAGCGTTAAAAGGAAACAGTCAGCTAAGGGACCGCGCTGACCTGGACACTTCTTTCGCCGAGTTTGAAAAGCGTTTACCTCAACCCGAAATCAAACGTGCGCGTCGGATACATCTAGAAATCCGCTTCAATCTTGCCTAGTGTTTCATTCGATCCTCGATCTTTTACAGAAAACCTCTTTTTGAGCAAACTTTAACTCATCTTACGATAATATTTTATCATATTTGGTTAAAAACAGCGGATGCAAAGAAACATGAACAGAAGAGGTGAGAGACGCGTAAGCTCCGGGTGGGAGGAATCGTCTTCATTTGCCAAATAACAAAAGAAATGTATCAATAACATTGGCGAGCAAATAATCGTTATAAATATTTGGAAAATCGATGGAAAAGGCTACATATGTTTTGAAAATCAAACTTCCTTCGACAATGATTTATGCAGACTCCGTGTCATTTCTCACCTCCAGTTCAGAGGTATTCGTTGATGTCACTGGCTTTCCCTGGACAAATCCAACGGTGAATTCTCTATAGTATAGAAAAAAAAAATAGTGCTCTGCTATGGCTTAGGGTCTATAATCACGATTTCGGCTTGTAACTAGTTCAACTCCACAAGGTTTGTTTAGATATTCCGGATGCGCCTCTCACTATCTGTTTCACGCGCGTGTCTTGTGATATTCAAATCAGCCAAACCAGCTAAGAACTGGTATGAAATGCGCATGTGCATCAGCTGACTGTGTCCCTTTAAACCTGCTTGCTGATTGGGTAATACAGTAACGTGGAAGATAAGTGGCGATGCGGGTCCTCGGGGGGATACTCCTGGGAATTCGTGGTGGGAATGTGCCGCCCGGCTCTCTATGATCCTGACCTTAATTATTTCAGACCAAAAGAGGCACAATTTTTTACAACCGTTTTCAGATCTGGCCTTTAAAATTCATACCCGTTTTCTGACTTGGCCTGTGTCATCATTACTTAGATTAGAACGCCGACAAAAGGTTTCTTAAAATCCAGTCCATTGTTCAGGCTCTTCTACGCCCACAAGTATTGACTGACAGCGGTGATGTCAAAAGGACCAATCAAAACAGGATTCATTACTAAAAAAATTGTCACCTTTCTGGCTACCAGAAACAGCAATAACAACACAGGAAATAACTTCGAGGGTAAAATCAGTTTCGATAATTTATGGCTCAGTAGGGCAAATTAAACATTTCTTGTGGTTTTCTTTTATTTCTGGAACATTCGGAAATAAACGAAAGGCTTCTCGAACAGCATCGTCAAAAGAACATGAATGCGTGACGGATATTTTGTTCCAGACAAACATGCCAGAACAACGCGTCATCAATCAACCAATTGGAACGCAAGGTTCATACAGTGAACGTGGGAAGAGCCAGAACAATGGACTGGCAACAGGCCCTTTTTTTTCTCCTCCCCTCCCCTCGTCTCGCGCTTCGCGCAAAATACCGCCTTCGCCTCGCTTGGCTCATAAAGCGCCTGTTTTGCAGGCTACTATGGCGCGGTCATTCGTGTAGCCACTGTAGACGCGGCTATTATGATTACTGTTGTTCTTGGTCCTGAGATATGCTCGAATCCCTGAATGGGTAAACACTGATGAAACTCGGGGTGATGAGTACTCATTAAAGAATCGTAGGGGGAGGCTCCGCCCCGCAGTCCAACCCCTTACCCTTTTATATACCATTTTTGACAGAAAAGGTACCCCTTTCATACACCTTTTATTGACAAATGGTACCCCTTTCACATACCAAGTTTCGAACATTGCATCTCAGTTAACTGCTGTCTCTAAAACATGAATAAATCACAAAAGCAGAACGTTTCCTCGACTTTTTCACAGCCATAAGATGCACCTGTTAGCCCCTTTGGGATTAAATTAACTGTAAAAATCGTGGACGAAGATCTTGCTAGTTGTAAACGTTGGATCCCTAGAAAAGAGATCTAATCAGCCAAATAAATATAAAGAACCAAAAACGAGACGTCCAAAGACTACTGCAAAGCCGATTCAGAACAATGGCCCTTTTGGGCCCTTTAGGGCCATTTTGTGTACAGACCGAAATGACACAATCATATACTTCACCTAGCGAAATCCCTACCCTGTCAAATACTTCAGGCCGGAAAAAGGAGCCCCTTTCGGGGGGAGCCTCCCCAAGGTTGTTTTAGGAAGTATCCACCTCCCGGGGATAAAACTAAGTTATTATACTTGTTATAGCTAAAATAAAGATTTTGTAAAAGACTAGTTAAGCAAATATTATGAACCTTCAGTAAGTTTCAAAAACAGCTTTTATTGTTTTATTTCGTATTCATTGGAATTATATAAAGATTGCATGTAAGAGATGTTACACAAGCACAGCTTTAGCAGCTTAAATAATGCAGAGACCAACAAAGGATTGGGTATTCGCTTAAGGTTAAGAGAGGATCGTCTGATTTTAAAAATGAATTATATACTAAAAATGATTGTACGGTACAAAAATCTAAGAGACTTAGTAAAATTGTCATGATTGACCTTTCAAATACAAAGAAAACTAATCAACTTCTATCCAAATTCATATTTATTTACGTTTTTATATCTTTTCACAAACTCTGACTTTGACTTTTATTTGGCAAAACGACCAAAAGTTTAAAGGTCGGACCATTAGAAAAGTCACGAGCAGCGTAAAATGGGGTTGAGAGGCCTACACGACTCTTCAGCGCGTATTTTAGCCTTTTTCATGGTTTGGCTCTCAGGAGTATGCCTTTGAGCGACCGCCCTCTTTTGTTCGATATGAGGGGCGTACTCCTGTAAATTTCGCTCAGTAATGGTTGTTGTTCTATTACATGCCAGTTTCCCATGAGAATTTGCTTTAGGTTGGGCACTGATGGTTGGTATTGTGTGACAAAAGGCAAGATTCGTAGGTTTCTCTTTTGTTCTGGTGGCACAGTTTGGTACAATTTGCTTGCATAGGAAGTTACATGACAGTTTACGATGCACAGTAAACTACTGTTGTGAAATTGAATAAAATATTCTGCATGTAGCAATTACATTATTTACATGTATTCTGTACTTGATTACCTTTAGATATTGCTGCAGTAAAATGTACACTAGGAGCCACTTAGTGGGTCAGGGGATGTTAGGTAATCCAAGAAACGACCCAGAAAATAAGATTTAATTTTAGTGAGTTTAGTTGTTTACTTCATATTTGCTGATAAATAAAAGTAACCTGTTGTCTTTGAACGATCTTTTTCTTTTCTTTCATTTTATTACATAGTGCTTAGTGCTTACATACATAGTGCTTCACTTCTATAATCTCTCTAATTGTGTCAATAACAAAATGCTTGAATCTGATTGGTTCTTATTATAGCTTAATTTTACTATTGTAACTCCAAAACTGTCCGATTTGACCTGTCTGATTATCAGGAGCTTGTAATCGGACAGGTCAAATTGGACAGTTAAAGAACCAATGAAAATCAAGTAGCAACTGCCACTAGCCAATGAAATTTAACTACATAGCACATGATAACCAATCAAAATCAATGAAAAAATAGTGACCAGGTAAGCTATCCAGTTTCAACTGGAAGAGAAAAATGGATGAAACTAACTGGTCCAATGACCTTTATTTACATTAATAAATATTCCAAGACCGAGATTCTGGCAATTTGTTACTGACACAATTAATTGGTAACAGATTTTTTGTGTCGTACAATTCAGGGTAATCAGGCGTAATTTTTCAATCGGCCTCGCGTTACGCGCTCGGCCGATTTGAAATTACTCGTCTAATTACTCCCTGAATTGTACTCCACTCAGTCCTACTACCATTACTACTACCTCACCACAATAAAAATCAAAGAGGAGGTTGCACAATTGTCCCAACATCAAGAGGATGACCATCATACATGTTGGCACAATCATGCCGAAATCCGTTGAGAATTTTTCAGACGTTATATCATTAGATGCTTTACTTAACAAAATCGTGGACGTTTAACTAAGCGAAGCTGTTGAAGAGGAACCAGTCTTAAATCACCATTATCAAACCTAACTGACACCGAGAATTCACCCATTTTTGAGGTAGCTGTATTCTTCACGATACCAGTTCGGTACCACTCTGGCATTGCAGGTTTGTGAACAGCTATAACTGATGTATTGACTGATATTTCCCTCTTTTCTGGCTCTTTATCTATTATAAGCACTGGATCAGTCCGATTGTACACTCTTTTGAGTGCGTTGTTGTATTCCAAGATGAACTCAATGTGAGTGTCATTTATCCCTGAGATGAAAGCCCTGTAGTAATTATTTGAGCGATCTCTTTCCGTCCACAGTCCCCAAAACTTTGAACCAACCAGGATACAATCTAAAGAAAACCAGAACAGACGCAAATTACTTTCCAAATGAAGAAAACATGACAGTAATGGAGTTGCATGCTTCTTTATACCATACATTAATGGAACTTAGAGTTTCCTCAAATAAGATTACACAAAAGACCTAAATAATTTTAGTTTACTTTGAGAATACGTTTGGATAACATACCTTAAGGGTCACAGTTACTTTGAGGCCAAATTTAACCAAGAGAGCAACTCAGTAAGTAGCAAACTACCAACTATGCAGTTTGGCCGGTAACTATTGCTTGTGCACAGCTAGCCATATCATACTGCAGAGACAGCCATAAAGTTTGACCTCAAGGATAAGGGCCTTATTGTCGATAATAGAACCCGTTGTTTGATTGGAAACATGTGAAATGAACCATGCATCCCAGTAAGTGTGTGTATTTTTTAATGGTAGTTTGTGCTAAAATTTGGGAGGTATTGCCCCTGAAAAACCCTATCGAGCCCCTTTAAATCATTTGTTATCAGTACACTATAATAATGCCATTACCAGGAGTGGGACGACATCCGTATATTTCTGTTCTTAAGAAAACCGCCTTCGAGGTGCCAACATCCGGGAATATTTGTAAAGTTCTGGTAACAAACGGCTCTTTGAAATGGTACCTCACAACAGTGAAAGCGTCTTTGTTCCCCTTTATGATCTTTAAGAAAGAGAAAAAAAAGTGAAAAGGAGACTGAAACAAATTAGCAATCACCTTCCCCTGCAAAATACCATGTTACAACCAGTCAGAGAAAGAACTTGCAATTCTTTACTGGAAAGATCCCGCCTTGTTATCACTGGTAAACATATTGTACAACCAGGGGCCGCGGAGCAAGGTGAAAAGTGGGAGGGCTGACAATTGAAAATAATTTTTTCATATTGAAAATCGAAAAAAGGAATAAAATCATAGTATTTGATTTTCAAAAAGTGGGGGCTGGGGCGCAAAAAAGTGGTGGGGCCGCGGCCCTACCAGCCCCTCCCCCTCCGCGGTCCCTGACAACTAATGGTTAGTTCTTCAAACACAATAATGTACTTCACCCACACAGGTGCTTAAATCTGCCTTGTTTCATTAGTAATTACTTATAATTCAACTTGTTCAAGTTTCAATGCCTAAATATTGCTTGTTTGCACGTGACGTCACGGCAGCCATGTTGGTGGTGTGTTAGGGTTCATAACAAAAGCATTTCGTTCCTCTGGGAACTAAACCTTATTTTCATGTAAATTCTTCGATAAAAAATTCTATTGTGTTGACCACCAACACACCACCAACATAGCCGCCTTATCACGTGGTTGCAAGCCAAGAATAGTATTTGATTATACCTAACCTTTTCTATACCAGATTCTGTATAAGGAACTGGCTTTTTTGCACCAACGAAAAAGCGAAGTCTGTATTGCTTTATCCATTCAGTGTTCACGTTCGCTCCTCCCTGAGTAGCTATAGCAGTGATTTTTAACCTATAGGTTTTACTGAGGTCGATCTGGAAAAACGCCTTTACCGATGTACCCCATGGGAAGCGTCCAGGAAGTTGGCTTTGGTTGACGTAACGAAAGTCGGCCGACGTTAAGTTCTCCGTATGAAGTAACATTCCACAATCTAAAATTAAAACTAAATTTTACTCTACTCGTGTCATAACACGTGGATGCGTAACTATCAGGCAGCGTTACAGCCGGCTTACCCATCATCTGAATCACGAGCGGTGTAGATTATCTGCGATGAAGGCGTAGAATTTTTAAAGGGTCACGAGGTATGGTTGTTTATGGTCAATTCTGTCATAACTAAATTACATTAAAGTGCCCTTACCCATTAAGAAAATGCCTCTGTGTGAGATATCAAGAAGATATCAAGTAAAACTCATCATAGCCTGTTCAGTTCAGGTTCCAAGATAGTGGGGAAAGCGTAGCGAGAAAAACTGCGCAAACCGCGAAGAGATGGTGAGGGACGGGTAAGTGGGGTATGCAAGCATCGTTTTCAATAAATCATTGCGGTATACCAGCTTTTGGTATACCTTATGATTGGTCAATTTTGACAGTTGGCGTCAAACAGGTTATTAGGGACTTATAATTAAAGATCCAAGGACGCGACAGAGACGAGAACGTTGCTTAAAAGGGATTTGCCTTCTTTCAGTCTTTATCACAATTATTCCTACTTGCTTACTATGTCAAATAAAGGTGAAACTGCTGAAGATCAATTCCAAGGGACCATATCCAAGTTCCCCCCCAAAAAACGAAGCCGTTGCTTGTTTACGTTCTCCATAAAACGCAAAAAAATTAGGCATTTTCACGTCCTCGTTGTGAAAAAACGGCAAAGAAATGTACAAAAAAATTGTGATACACGTACAAAATTGTTGTCTTGCTTATGAAACCTATCGTTACCAGACATTCTCGTTGCCGTCGCGTCGTTGGATCTTAAAGACCCTTTAAGATCCAACGACGCAACCGCTGGACGAGAACGTCAAAGACAAAAAAGCACAAATACGCATACACACAAAAAAACAAACAAACAAAGAAACAATAGGTTTAATAAGCAAAAAACAACAACAGCAACAACTTCGCAGGTGCATCACACTTTTTGTTTCATTTCTTTGCCCTTTATACACGACTTTGATGTGAAAATGCCTAATTTTGCGTTTTATGAATAACGAAAACAAGCAACGACGAAATTTTAATTCTCTAACTTCAGAGGGAGGAGGTCATTTACGAGAAGTATCATATGAAGTATTCAAACTTTAGCTCACTCTATAAATCCATGTAAGTTGTTCTATATTTAGACTGCAAAACAGTCCGTATTTTTTGCGTATTCAAGTATGCGCAAGCAGACAAACAAAAGGTCTAGAACCAGACTGATATATTTCTCTAGTGCGCTTCGGGCGCGTAAGACTTTTATGCCACGCTTTACCGATTTCTTTACTGATTTTAAGAAAAAAAACCCGACTGTTCTGCAGTCTGTTTTATATTTTACATGTTTTCAAGCATGTAGCATCACTTGGTATCTGACACTTCAATAAGCTTTGAACTAAGCTTTTTCATGATTCGCTGTTACATCTCATTGACCTTTGGTCGTCGAACACCGATTGATGAATAACCAGAATTCGTGCCGTTATGACCGTTCATTTCACGTTGTGAGGTATATCGCATTATCTTTGCCTGCAAATACAGCCGTCTCTTCTCGGTCGCTCCTCATCGTTTACAATTCAAAGCTACCTGTATCTAAGCAATTGTGAATAAAATAGTTGAATTAAATAACAGTCTTCTTTACTATGTTGTTCAATTCAATTTCAACATTCATGATCCGCCCTGATTCCTTCTGTTGATACTGAAACTGTTAAATAGGAATTTCTTATTCACGTACACACTTATGAAAGCGGTTCTCAACATCAATCGCACCTTTCGGTAAACGTACATGTTCGCCCGCACTTCGTAACCGTTGATTACTGATAGTACTATCTTTGTGTTGACACTTACCAAAGCACATTGACCTATTGACCGACTCCTGGAAACCTTTTGAACATTTACAGGTCTTGTTGTCTTGAGACATTTGGCATTCATTTGGACACTTACAATAGTAACTTTCAGGACTATTGACACACATATGGCTGCAGTTGTTTTTAACATTCTCATTGCGATGTGGAGGCTGAAGCACTGGGGATGTGGAGGCCGAAGCACTGGTCGACACAGTGGCTGACACAGTAGCAGAGGTAGAGGCCGAGACACTTGGCGACACACTGGGCGATGGGGAGGCCGAAGCACTGTTCAACACACTGGCTGACATGCTAGCAGAGGTGGAGGCCGAGACACTTGGCGACACACTGGACGATGTGGAGGCCGAAGTACTTGTTAAAACACTGGCTGACACGCTAGCAAAGGTGGTCGCCGAGACACTTGGCGACAAACTGGGCGATGTGGTGTCCGAAGCACTGGTGGAGAAACTGACTGACACGCTGGCAGAGGTGGAGGACGTGACACTTGGCGATACACTGGACGATGTGGAGGCCGACGTACTTGTTAAAACACTGGCTGACACGCTAGCGGAAGTGGAGGCCGAGACACTTGGACACAGACTGGGCGATGTAGAGGCCGAAGTACTTGTTGACACGGTGGAGGCCGAGACACTTGGTGACACAATGGGCGATGTGGAAGCCGAAGTACTTGTTGACACACTGGCTGACACGCTAGTAGAGGTGGTGGCCGAGACACTTGGCGACACACTGGACGATGTGGAGGCCAAAGCACTGGTCGACACACTGGCTGACACGTTAGCAGAGGTAGAGGCCGAGACACTTGGCGACACACTGGGCGATGTGGAGGCCGAAGCACTGGTGGAGAAACTGGCTGACACGCTAGCAGAAGTGGAGGCCGAAACACTTGGCGACACACTGGGCGATGTGGAGGCCGAAGTACTTGTTGATACACTGGCTGACACGCTAGCAGAGGTGGAGGACGAGACACTTGGCGACACACTGGGCGATGTGGAGGCTGAAGTACTTGTTGACACACTGACTGACACGCTAGCAGGGGTGGAGGCCGAGACACTTGAAGACACACTGGGCGATGTGGAGGCCGAAGCACTGGTCGACCCACTAGCTGAGACGCTGGCAGAGGTGGAGGCCGAGACACTTGGAGAAACACTGGACGATGTGGAGGCCGAAGCACTGGTCGACACACTGGCTGACACACTAGCAGAGGTGGAGGCCGAAACACTTGGCGACACACCGGGTGATGTGGCCGAAGCACTGGTTGACACACTGGCTGACACGCTCGGAGAGGTTGAGGCCGAAACACTTGGGGACACATTGGGCGATGTGAAAGCCGACGCACTGTTGGAAACACTAGCTGACACGGTAGCAGATGTGGAGGACGAGACTAGCAACAACAATAATAATAAATAAACTATGAACCGGGTTAAAAAACTACGAAATGGCTATCTGCTTACAAAATAAAACTATATTATTCAAAGCTATACCTTAGCTTATGCCAATTTTTTTCGAACGTTTTGGTATTATTCTTAACTCTGGCAAAACACCAATGAATGACTGTAATAAGTTTTTTTAGGTCTAATTAAGCAAAGTACGAAACTACGGGGGAAAATTAGATGCTACTTACCCAAGCACATTGTACTGTTGAAAGACTCCTGGAAACCTTTTGGAGATTTACAAGTCTTGTTGTTTTGTGACATTTGGAATCCATTTGGACAATTACAATAGTAACTACCTGGACTATTGATACACAAATGGCTGCAGTTGTTTTTAAGATTCTCATTGCATTCATCGATATCTGGGAGACACCAAATTGAAATATGACTTGTCATACTGACGATCAAAATTGTAGATGTTACTTCACAGGAGTATACAAGGATTATTCTACGTCTTACAATTTTCGAGGACTCCAAAAAAAAAACTACACTTCAATGGCTGAAACTGAAACGCACTGTCTTGTCGAAACAACAACAGAAGAAAGTCCAACGCCGACAGCAGCGGGGCTTATCAAGGGCGCTGTGTTTGACGGAGGAAATTTCACCATCAATATCAGCTCGTCCTCGTCTTCAATAGTAGCACAAAAACAACAAACTTATAAACGAATAAAACGCATATTTTACTCTTCAGACGACGACGAAAGTCCTCCTCTGACATAGAAAGAGTCAGCTTTGTTGAAAAGCTAAGAGCTTGTTTTTGTCGAGACTTTCCATGAAGAAATCTATATTATAAGTCCTTCACATTAACTGTTATACTTCTACAAATGCTTCTTCTACTCAGTACCGTCACTGCAACTGTTTATTCTGGTGCCGCTTCCAATATCACCTCAAACAATCTGAGATCAGACTCTATTTTCGTTTCGCTTTAACCGGAGTGCCTGATATAAACTTTACTTTGCGAGAAATGTCTCCCCCCCTCCCCCGCAAAAAATAAAATTCTCGTTTCGCTTGGCAACAACAGTTTAACAGCCAATCTAATGGTCGCAGGAGCACGGCCCTGTTAAGGGGGTCATTGTCTTGTTAAAGTTTAGCGTGAAAGCGTAAGAGAGAATGTATGGGAGCTGCTGAAAACTAGCACTACCATTACGTCTACCACTACCGCTACCACCATCCCTATCAATACCACTACCACCACCCTCACCAATACTATTACTCTTAAAACTACCAATACAACTTCCACTACCTCCACCACAAACACTGCCACCACCACTAACAATACCCTTGCCACTACCTCAACCAGTACCCTTTATAAAACTACCTATAACACTACCACCACCACCACTACCACAAACCCCACCACTAACACTACCACCACTACCGCTATCACTATCACTGCCACTACCACAAAAACCACCACCACTACCACTGCCATCACCATTAACAATACCCTCACCACTACCACTATCCTTTATAAAACTACCAATAACACTACCACCTCCATTACCACAAACCCCACCACTAACACTGCAACCATTACCACTATCACTATCATTATCACCACCACTACCACTACCACAAAAACCACCACTAACACCACCACCACTACCACTAACACTACCGCTACCACTACCACTACCACTACCACTTCCTCTACCATTACCACTATAACTACTACCACTACTACCACAAAACCCACCACTCACACCAACACCACTATAATTACCACTTCCACTACCATTTCCACTACCATTACCAATGCCAGTATTACTAACACGCTTCTGGTGCTCCCAGTACCAACTCCTCTAAAAGAATCTTGAGGAAACTATCCCGACAACGATACAAAAAGAAATCAGAAAAAGAAGCAGGTTTGGGAATCAAAACTAACAACTCTGCTTATCTACCACGCTTTTCGTTTAAGTTTCTTTGCCTTTGACTGCACAAATTACGTTTTAACTGAGAACGTGAACGGCAAGGCGAGAAACTGTGTTGCATCAACCTAAGCTCGAACGAGTTGATAACTGCTTTTCACCTCGCGAAGATTCTAGAGGACGAGAATTCAGTTTTTGAACGATCTGTTTTTTAACATCTCCGTTGTCAAGTCGTAAATACCTACTGTTACGATAAGGACAACGAAGACGGTAAGATCAGTTCAACTAAAAGGTATCATTACCTGCCAGTCTCTTTGTCTCGCTACTTACCCAAGCACACTGTCCTGTTATTGGATTCCTGGGAACCTTTTGGACATTTACAAGTCTTGTTGTCTTGGGACATTTGGAATCCATTTGGACACTTACAATAGAAACTTCCTGGACTATTGACACATCTATGGCTGCAATTGCCTTTAAATTCCTGAATGCATTCATCGATATCTGTGAGAGACCACATTGAAACATGGCTTGTCGCTGTCAATATTTCAGACGTTACCTCAAAGAATTATACCGGGATTATTCTACGTCTAGCAATTTTCGACGACTGTAAGTAAAAAATTTGACAGAAATCACTTGATTCCCAGTTTATACTTGAGCAAAAACTCTTAACCAAAACAACAATAATAAATGAACCATGAACAGGTTAAAAAAGAGGAAATGGTTAAAATTTGCTTACAAATTAAAAATATAGATATTCAAAGCTATCACTTAGATTAAGTCAAAATTTTTCGAACGTTTTGGCTTAGCATTCTACTGCTATAATGAGTTTTTTTCAGGTCTAATAAACCCAAAGTACGAAACTACAGGGCAAAATTAGATCCTACTCACCTAAGCACATTGTTCTATTGACCAACTCTTGGAAGCCTTTTGGACATTTACAAGTCTTGTTGTCTTGAGACATTTGGAATCCATTTGGACACTTACAATAGTAACTTCCTGGACTATTGACACATAAATGGCTGCAGTTGCCTTTAACATCGGGATGGCATTCATTTACATCTGTAAAAAAAGAAAGAAAGAAAGTGGTAATAAGTCCTTCAAATTAACTGTTCTACTTCTACAGCTGCTTCTACTGCTCAATACTGTTACTGCAACTATTGACAAACTATGGCTGCAGCTGCCTTTAAATTCCTGGTTGCATTCATCAATATCTATGAGAGACCAATTGAAATATTGCTGCAGACTAGGCTTTGTTTATTTTATTTGTGAGGGGAGTGTAAGCGGGAAGGCGCGGAAAAACTAACGCCTGCTTACAAACCATTGTCTGTTCCATTCCATGATTAAAACGTAAAAATTACTGATACTTACACCGGAGAAACAGCAAGGAAAGTAAAAAAAATGTCAAATTCGCATCGAGACCAGGGCCACAAGTTTACTAGTTTCTGTAACTATTCCATGCTACCCTCTTTAAATAAAGTGTATTATTATTATTATTATTATTATTGCACCTTACTTACCCTCAAAATTTTAATTTTGCATAACCAATGTCTTCGATTTCTCTTGGGAAGACTGAAATACCCAGGAGGGGGAGGGGGGGGGGATGGGGGGTTAAACAAGGTGCATTATGGTCGCGGTGAAAATGGTAAACTGCCAACGAAACAACATGGCACAAATTGATGTTTACGTTTTATCTCAAGAAATTTCGATATTCTTTTATTCTCTAGTATAAGACTTGCTGGAAGACATCAGGTCGAACAATCTGTGTGGAGTTTTAAAGGTTTCTATTCTATCGCGCCACAGTTATGGACTAGCGGCATAAGTACATATAGTGGGCAGAGATGACCAAGTAATCTAGCCTATCCACCAACGTTTTAACTTTTTTTTTTCGACATTTCGACAGCACGCAAGAGCGGACGGGTAGCGCCAAAAAGAGAAAATAGAGGCTCTATGAACAGGCTACAGGTGATCATTTCCCCCGCCATTTTTCACGTTTGCCGTTTATTTTTAAGATTAAAAGGTTGGTTTTCACGCTCAAAAAAGACAGGAGTAAAAACGACAGGATGAGACATGGCATTTGTTATCACAATATTGCCTGTACAGTTTCTTTCTCGATGTCGAATGCACCAGGCAAATAATTAAACTACTAGTTACTACTACTAGTTTAACGAATTGATAAAGGAGAGTCAAACACCATCTCAGATTACGGAAAACCGACTGTTTGTGAACACTTCTAAGATGACGTTCACGTTACGTGGACGGTATGGAGGGTTATGTCCTCGAGGTATACGCAAAGCCTAAAGGCACAAGCCGCTTTGATTAAAGACGGAAAACGGCAAACGTGAAGCAAAACGTGGTGCTTTATCCCTCTAATGCCCTTACAAAATAACAAGGAAAGAGAAGGTTGCTTAAGTGTGCCAACCGTTTTACCAGGGTAACGCTGATGCATGTTGGCACATCTATGCAATCTGCTGTGTGTTTTAGTATTCGTTACAAACCTTGTATTACATGCTTTACTTGACAAAATCGTGGTCTTTTAACTAAGCGAAGCTGTGGTAGAGGAACCAGTCTTAAATCACCATTATCAAACCTAACTGACACGAGGAATTCACCCATTTCTGAAGTAGCTGTATTCTTCACGATACCAGTTCGGTACCACTCTGGCTTTTCAGGTTTGTGAACAGCTATAACTGATGTATTGACTGATATTTCCCTCTTTTCTGGCTCTTTATCTATTATAAGCACTGGATCAGTCCGATTGTATACTTGTTTGAAATAATTGTTGTATTCCAAGATGAAATCAATGTGAGTGTCATTTATCCCTGAGATAAAAGCCCTGTAGTAATTATTTGAGCGATCTCTTTGCGACCACAGTCCCCAAAACTTTGAACCAACCAGGATACAATCTAAAGAAAACCAGAACAGACGCAAATTACTTTCTGAATGTGGGAAACATCAAAGCTATAAAGTTGAATGAACGGCTACTTTAAACTATAGGTTTACGTGACTTACAAATTCCTCGCACAAGATTCAATGAAAGGCCTAATTTACACTGTAGTTTACTTTTAAAACGACTGAATAAGTTATACACACATCATAACGTACGTAGTGTCACAACAGGCCATTATACAGTAATGGATGGAGGCGAGGCTGAAGTTGACCATGTTTTGTACAAACCTTCCTGCTTTATTACGCAAATCACGTTTCTCTTATGCTAAGTACTATTTTTCAAGAGCAACTTTCATAACAAAGCAAAGGTTTGTATCAAAACAAGGTCATCCTCAGCCTCACACATTCACTCAAAGGCTCGGGTACTAAGTCTACAACTGTAAAATAATGGTCTATTGATTAATAAAGTCCAAAATATAATTTACTTTGAAAAGAACGACAACATGACACTAAAATTATAATCTCAATACAAAGGTCACGAGATCCTCGTGACCTTCGCTGTCTGGTTTAGTTATACTTTTGTTGTAGCTGGGAAGTTACGGATTTGCTGTGATAGTGACATAAATCCAAATATTCTATGTTAAAAATGCCGGGACAGTGAGTGGTCATGGGGAACATCTATACTATGATCAAGACTAAATACATGCCCCTTCCATATATATTCTGTTGTCAATTTAACTTGCATCATTTACTTTAGCACGGCTCTCACTACGACTACAATAAAGTTTGGAAATCAGAGCAACCTACAGATTAGTCAATTTTCAGCTGCTAGCAAAATACCGACTAATCCGTCGGACGCGCGCGCAATGATGGAATCAGTTTCTCCAAGAGCATTGTCAAACTTTGTTTCGTGGGAAGAGTCACTTGTCGTGAACTTTTCGAAACAATGTATAACAAAACAATTTAGATTCGGTTTTTGTAATATCCGGAATAATCAAGATCCACTTAAGTTATATCAGCCTCGGCCACAAGCACCACCTCCACCTTAATTCCTTGATTATTCCGGATATCAGACGGACCTCATCCACTAATTGTTTATCAAATCATCCCTCTGTCAGTACAATGAGATAATGCCATTACCAAGAGTAGGACGACATCCATATACTTCTGTTCTCAAGTAAACCGGCTGCGAGATGTCAAAATCCGGGAAAATTTGTAAAGTTTTGGTAACAAACGGTTCTTTGAACTGGTATCTTACTACAGAGCGAGCGTCTTCTTTCCCCTTTATGATCTTAAAAAAAGGAAAGAAACAAAGAACAACGAGAAAAGGTACCTAAAAAGAACAGGTTACTACACGGTCGAAACAAACAACCCTCTCAGAAACAACCACCACCACAACAACAACAAAACAATTCTTTACTGCGGAAAGAATCTAAAGTTATATAATAACGTTAAATTGATTGTACAGCTACTGATTTTCTCTTTTGCTCTTAACAAGTGTACTTCACTTACGCAGGTCCTAATCTGCCTTGTTTCATTTCAATAACAATTAAAGGTTTAAAAAATAAAACGTTACACGTAAAACAATATATATTCTGGGCTAATGGGTGCAATGTTTTTCTTTTCCCTTTCTTTTTTCCTGGAATGGGGATAGGAGATATATATCACCCCCCTGTAAATTGATATCTAACAGGACAATTGCACGACGACGTCATTTTACTACAATTACCAGAATCCTTCATTTTTTGTTTTCTTCGGCAAATTAACACTATTGTTCTTTAATTCTCGGCGGGATTGACAAACTTAAATAAGAAAGCCAAAACGAAATGAATTCTGGTAGTTGTAGTCAAAATGAAAATGGCCTAAATTTGCACGAATTTGATGTTCCTATTAGTTTGGTAAAAGATATCAAATGAACATTGCCTTGTATTGTCCCGCCCTGTATTGCTGGCCAAACCTCCTATAGTAAGTTAAGGATAAAAAGTCTGTCTCACAGGCAAATAATTTCAGCAGGGGCTTCTCATGCGCATTAAAGTTTGGAAAGTCTACATGTATGATATCATTATATCTAACCTTTTGTATCCCATATTCTCTATAATGAACTGGCTTTGCACCAACGGAAAAGCGAAGTCCATATCGCTTCACCCAGTTGTTCAAGTTCGCTCCTCCCTGAGTAGCTATAGCCGTAATTTTGAACCTATAGGTTTCACTGAGGTCGATCTGGAAAAACGTCTTTACTGATGTACCCCATGGGAAGCGTTCACGAAGCTGGCTTTGGTCAACGTAACGGAAGTCGACCGACGTTGAGTTCTCCGTATGAAGTAACATTCCACAATCTGAAATTATAACTAAAATTTCATTTTTCTCTCGTCATAACACGTGCATAAGGAATTCTTAGTTAGCGTTGCAGTAGGCTTACCCGTCGTCTAAACATCAAGCGGTTTAGAGTGTCTCCGACGCGGGCTAGAAATTCGTAACCACATATTGTAGTTACTTTAAATGGAGGTTATCCCCATCTATGTGGGGGGGGGAACAATCATTAACCTACGACGACTTTAACTTCAAGACCATGTGGCTGCTGTAAAAATACGTAAAAATATGAAATCATGTGACGTGACATACATTTTCTAGTGTGTCCATCGTTTCACCAACATCTAAACAACGGCTGCTTCACCTTTTTTTACCCGCCCACCCGACGTGAAGTTATTTTTTTCGGAAAATGGTGAGATGCTATTTTTTAGCTTCACTAAAATTTTTCTTTAGAGACAAACACGCTACAGTTATATCTTTGTTGAAATCAATGTTACTTAGTAGATGAGAGCTTAGATATCAACTACTTTTCTACTACTCTAACAAGCGATGTTGATTGAAAATTCGACTAAAGAATTTTTTTTATTTCAAAGAATGACAACAGCTGTGGAGGCCGAGCGAGCGAACGCGTAAGTGATAAATTCATTTGTATTAAGGAAGGGCAAACTTTTTGGCATTTATCTTTAATAAAGAGGAAAGAAAATTTACATGAAAAACAGCTATCACAATGCACTTATAAGTGGAAATAGGTGTTTCCGTGGTGGAAAAAAGCACAGCGAACGAGTGCAAACGAGTGACATGTCTCTTACTTGATTCGAACAACTGATCCGCGAACACCTCGTGAAACTGAACAAATTCCTCAAAGCCTGAAGGCGAATGTGTTTTTTTTTGTCTGCCCCAAAGCTGTTGGTCTTTGTGAACCAAAATTTCAGTGAACATATTAAAAATAAACACGAACGAACAGTATTACACTTATGTCTACATTCAGCGCCGTCGAGACCTACCGACCTGTCTGCATCTTAAGTTTCCTTTCTACCGCCGAAACTGACGTTCTCGTTCCAGTCCTTTCCCAGTCAACAGACGGCGTCGTCGTAAGTTTCGTCGTGGTTCTTACGTTCCCTAATAGGCTGATTTAGCAACAGAACGCGAACGTCATTTGACGACGGGAAAGCGCGCGAAAACGACAAAACTTGACTTCCGGTGCCCAATTTGTCGCTCTACTATTGGTCAAGCCAGTTGTTTGATTTGCGCGCGCCGTCGTCAACTGACGTTCCCGTTCTGTTGCTAAATCAGCCTAATGTTACGATAAGGACGACGAAGACGGTGGAATCAGTTTAACTAAACGGCGTCGTCGTAAGTTTCGTCGTGGTTATTAGGGAACTTAAGAACCACGACGACGACTTTGTCAACGACGACCGGAAGTGAGTTACGGAATACTGCGCAAGGGCGACCAGTAAATTTCGTCGTCGTGGTCTCGTCGACGACGCCAAACAAAGTAGAATCACGTCGTCCTGCAATCCACAAGCCTTGGCAGGTATAAATCCACTGTTTTAAGCGATTTTTGAAGTCCTTTGCAGTTTCAGTGCTTTTCACTTTTCAGGAAAGTCATTGTATTTTCCCTCACAGGAGAAACTTATACAAACATGGGTACAGAGATACTCCCACCCCTCCCCCTAAGCTGGGTTCAAACCTCCCCCCCTCTCCCAACGCCACTTAAAAATTAGATTAGTTAGACCCAGTTTAACTTTCTTGGGACATCACGCCTTATTGATATGGAAAGATTGGCTTGTATTTACCGCTGTCTTTTCAGTAACATCAGTTTATTTGAAAAATGCAACCACCCCACCCCCCTAAGTACAAAATTTTCCCCCTGACTGGGGTCCATAGCTACTATTGTTCAGCAGCCCAAGTACTATTATCATGCTAAATTTGGTGCTTTTACCCCTAAGTGCACAATTTTTTCACCATATGGCTTGACTACACGGCAGAAATCAAAATCTTTTCACTTAATTGACAGTTTATAATTAAAATAATAATAATAATAACAACAACAACAACAACAATAATAATTAATAAACGATGAACAGGTAGAAAACATGCGAAATGGTTATTTGCTTACACAATGAAACTATAGAATTCAAAGTTACCACTTAGCACACAGATGTATGCCAAATTTTTTCAAATGTTTTGAAATTATTCTTAATTCTGGTAAAACAGGAAACTACATGGAAAATCAGATACTACTTACCCAAACACATCGTCCTGTTATTCGACTCCTGGAAACCTTTTGGACATTTACAAGTCTTGTTGTCTTGTGACATTTGGAATCCATTTGGACACTTACAATAGTAACTTCCTGGACTATTGATACACAAATGGCTGCAGTTGTTTTTAACATTTTCATTGCATTCATCGATATCTGTAACAGACCAAATTGAAATATGACTTGCCAATTGAACTTTCAGTAGTTACTTCACAGCAGTATACCAGGATTATATTAAGTCTTGTAATTTTCGACGGTTTGAAATAAAAACTACGACAGAAATCAAAATCTTTTCCCTTTATGGTCAGTTTATACTTGAACAAAGAATAATAGCAGCAACACTAATAATTAATAAACCATGAACTGGGTTAAAAGAGTACGAAATGGTAAATAAAACTATATATATATATATATATTTAAATCTATCACTTAGCTTATGCCAATTTTTTTCCAACGTTTTGGTATCATTCTTAACTCTGGCAAAACACCACTTAATTGCTATAATACGTGTTATAGGTCTAATAAACCAAAGTACGAAACTACAGGAGAAAATTAGATGCTACTTACCCAAGCACATTGTCCTGTTTGCCGACTCCTGGAAACCTTTTGGACATTTGCAAGTCTTGTTGTCTTGAGACATTTGAAATCCATTTGGACACTTACAATAGTAACTTCCCTGACTATTGACACATAAATGGCTGCAGTTGCCTTTAACATCGGGATTGCATTCATTTACATCTGTAGAAAAAAGAAAGAAAGAAAAAAAGTGGTAATAAGTCCTTGACATTAACTGTTCTACTTCTACAGCTGCCTCTACTGCTCAGTACTGTTACTACAACAGTTTGTACTGGTGCTGCTTCCAATATCACCACAAACATACGTCTCTCCCTCCCCCCGCCCCCCCCAAAATTCTCGTTTCGCTTGGCAACATCTGTCGCAGGAGCACGGCCCAGTTAAGGGGGTCATTATCAGGTTCAATTTTAGCGTGATAACGTAAGAGAGAATGTATGGGAGCTCTTGAAAATGGGGCTGATCAAAGGTTATTACTAGCACTACCAATACGTCTACCACTACCGCTACCACCACTCCTATCAATACCACAACCACAACCCTCACCAACGCTATTACTCTTAAAACCGCCAATACCACTTCCACCACTAACACTGCCATCACCACTAACAATACCCTTACCACTAGAACTACCAGTAACCTTTATAAAATTACCACCACTAACAACATCACCACTACCACTACCACTATGACCACCAATACCACAAAAAAAACACCCTAACACCACTACCAACACCACTACCACTATCACTGCAACTACCAATACAACAAAAAGCACCACTAACAGCACCACCACCACTACCACTACCACTATCACCACCACTACCAATATCACTACCACTATGACCATCAATACCACAAAAACCACCGTAACACCACCACCACCACCACTATCACTAACACTACCAATAGCACAAAAACCACCACTAACACCACCACCACTACCAGTACGACCACCAATACCACAAAAACCACTACTAACACCACCACCACTACCACTATCACTAACACTACCAATAGCACAAAAACCACCACTAACACCACCACCACTACCAGTACGACTACCAATACCACAAAAACCACTACTAACACCACCACCACCACAACTACCACTGTCACTACCACTACCACTTCCACTCCCACTACCATTACCACTACCACTGTCACTACTAATGTCAGTACTACTACCACGCTTCTTGTGCTCCAAATACCAACTCCTCTACAAAAAAAGTGACGAAACTATCAAGAGAACGATACAAAAAGAAATCAGAAAAAGAAACAGGTTTGGGAAGCAAGACTTACAATTCCGCTTATCTAACACGCTTTTCATTTATTCTTTTTTTTACCTTTGACTGCACAACTAAGACATGAAAACATCAAAATTTACGTTTTTACCGAGAACGTGAACGGCAAGGCCAAAAACTGTGCTGTATCAACTTAAGCTCGAACCAGTTGAGAACTAATTTTCATTTCGCGAAGATTTGAACGATGTTACGATAAGGACAACGAAGACGGTGAGATCAATTCAACTAAAAGGCATCATTACCTGCCACTCTCTTTGTACCGGTACTTACCCAAGCACATTGTCCTGTTATTCGACTCCTGGAAACCTTTTAGACATTTACAAGTCTTGTTGTCTTGAGACATTTGGAATCCATTTGGACACTTGCAATAGTAACTTCCTGGACTATTGACACATCTATGGCTGCAATTGCCTTTAAATTCCTGATTACACTCATCGATATCTGTGAGAGACAAAACTGAAATATGACTTGTCGCTGTCAATACTTCAGATGTTACTTCAAAGAATTATACCAGGATTATTCTACGTCTAGTATGTTTCGACGACTGTAAATAAAAACTATGACATAAATCACTTTATTGTCAGTTTATACTTGAATCAGTTAACAAAAATAACAATAATAAATGAACCATGAACAGGCTAAAAAAAGAGGAAATGGTTAATATTTGCTTACAATTCAAAACTACAGATATTCAAAGCTATCACTAAGATTAAGTCAAAAATTTTCGAACGTTTTGGCTTAGCACTTTATTGCTATAATAAGTTTTCTTCAGGTCCAATAGTCAAAAAGTACGAAACTGCAGGGCAAAATTAGATGCTACTCACCCAAGCACATTGTTCTGTTCGCCGACTCCAGGAAACCTTTTGGACATTTACAGCTCTTGTTGTCTTGTGACATTTGGAATCCATTTGGACACTTACAATAGTAACTTCCTTGACTATTGACACATAAATGGCTGCAGTTGTTTTTAACAGTCTGATTGCATTCATCGATATCTGTAAGAGGCCAAATTGAAATATGACTTGTCAATATCAATTTCAGATATTACTTCACAGCAGTATAACAGGATTTTTACTGGTCATATAATTTTCGACGACTTGAAATATAAACGACGACAGAAATCAAAATCCATTCCCTTATTTGTCAGTTTATAATTATTTGTATAGTTCATAGTTAATAAACCAATTGCCGGGTTAAAAAGATAAGAAATGGTTATTTGCTTACTAAATAAAACCATAGATATTCAAAGCTTTCCCTTAGCTTATGCCAAAAATGTTCGATCGTTTTGGCATCATTCTTAATTCTCGCGACATAACACTTAACTTCTATTAACAACAAGATTTTTTAGGTGTAATAAACCCAAGTACGAAACTACAGAGAAGAATTAAATACTACTTACCCAGACAAATGGTCCTGTTTGCCGACTCCTGGAAACCTTTTGGACATTTACAAGTCTTGTTGTCTTCAGACATTTGGAATCCATTTGGACACTTACAATAGTAACTTCCCTGACTATTGACACATAAATGGCTGCAGTTGCCTTTAACATCGGGATGGCATTCATTTACATCTGTAAAAGAGTGGTAATAAGTCCTTCACTTTAAATGTTCTTCGATCTACTACTACAGCTGCTTCTACTGCTCAGTACCGTTACTGCAACTGTTTGAACCAGTGCCGCTTCCAACATCACCTCGAACATAATCTGAGGTCAGAGTGTACTTTGGTTTCGCTTTAGCTGGAGAGCCTGTTATGAGCCTTCTATGAAACGTCTTACGCCCAAATATTCTCGTACCGCTTGGCAACACGTATGGGAGCTGCTGAAAATGGGACTGATCACAAGTTACTACTAGCACTAGCACTACCTCTACCACTACCGCTACCACCACTCTCACTACCAATATTGCTCTTAAAACTACCACTTTCGCTACCACCACTAATGCCATTCCCTATACCTTTTCTGCTACCACAACCCTCTACAAAAGTGCCAAAAACACTACCACCATGCACCACCACTAACACTACTAACAGCATCAACACTACCACTACCACTACCATTACCACTACATCTACCACTACCACTTCCACTAGCACTTGTACGCCCAGGACCCCAAGTTGTCACAACCATTACCACTACAGTAGAAACCAAGTAATACGGACAGGAATGGGACATACCATGTGTCCGTATGAACCGCGTTTTCAGAAAAAAATGCCTCCGACACGTTTTATTGATATGAAGACAAACGTATACATTTTCACGAGAAGAAGTTTATTTCTAAACTTTAACTGCAACAAGTTCATCCTTAAAACAACCCTACGATCTTTTATCACAGTATCGGACTAAACTTTCCTTGTAAGTCAGTGTTCTTCAACTTAACAGACCTCCACGACAATGGAGTTCGTGACTTTACTTTGTATTGACGGGTGGACTGAATACTAGACAGAACCTTTTAAAGGTCATTTGCTGTTTCAGAGAGGTTATCACTGGTTAGATATTCATTCACAGAAAAAGCGCATTTGAATAGTGTCCGTAAAACGGGGTTGATTATATATGGGAGTTTGTGACTCGGGACACTGAAAAGTGTCCGTTGTCCCTATTAACTGGTGTCCGTATTTAGCGGGATAATTTTAGGGAAACTACGTGAGAAAAGAAACTGTCCGTGGGGTTGGTAGAGCGGGGTTCCAACGTATAACTACCATCATCACCACCACAACAACCCGACTCCCGCTCAAACTACCACTACCACCACTACAACTTCCACAATATTGAGCTTTTCGACTGAAGAAAAGAAACTGTCCGTGGGGTTGGTAGAGCGGGGTTCCAACGTACAACTACCATCATCAACACCACAACCACCCGACTCCCACTCAAACTACCACTACCACCACTACAACTTCCACAACCATTACTACTAACCACTACTGTTACCACAACCACTACCATCAACACTTCCACTTTCACTACCAAGCTTCTACTGCTAATACCACCTCTGCCTCTTGAGATAAAAAGAAGGTTTAGGGATTAAGACAAATTAGTATATGCACACTAAGTGATCTTGGTGTTTTAAGCAATCTGACCGTTTCGCTATCTCGGACTATTCAACATTAGTAAAATCCAACTAGTGGTCTATTATCAATGCAGCGTTCTGATTGGTTGAGCTACTACTTAGGCTATATGTTATAGCCCACTAGTAGCGAAAAGCGCTAGCTTTGAAAACCAAAACAATGGCGGCGGAATCACCTTTTGCTAGCTAAAGTTGTTTTGTCTTGATATTTTTTACCAACTAGTTAGATTTTACTAAAACAATTATTCCTCTCGCCCTCATGGCCTCTGAGTTAATAGCCCATTCGGGCTTGAGGAATAATTGTTAAATATTCACCTCCGAGTGAGTGGAAAATGCGTGAGCTCGGTATTTTTCAAGTAAATAGAACAAAGAATACTACAGAAAAACGACGCCTTACCTCAAGTAACTCAGCCGCAATATCAGCATCATGAAGAGAACGACACAAGAAATCTTTTTCACTAACTTGGCAAAGCTCGACTTTTCGTCTCAGGTAAGGAAGCAAGTTAAACTTTTAACGGTCCATTTAAGCCATTACGTTGTTTTTTTGCGAAATTGCGAATTGCCATGTTTGAAAATTCTACAAAGATCTAACTTTTGCGCATGTACTGTATTAAACTGCAGCTACATGCAAATTTTTCACGCATGATTTGATTCGTCAATCAAATCGTAGTTTTGAACGGTTGGCTTTAAGATCATTTACCTCGATTTCAAAGAATAACTGTTAAATATCTGCTCATCTATCACGCTTTCTCTGCGTTCACCTCACAAGAAATGCATGATTGGATTTTATGTTTTATTAAGAACGTGAAGGGCAACGCGACAAATTTTAGTGAGTCCACCTGAGTCTTAACGAGTAAATATAACCTCGCAAAGTATCAAGTCCTTACTATCATGACCACGACGACAAAAACGTCGATATCAGTTCAACTAAAGAGCCGGAGGAACATTAACTGCTGTTGTCCTCTTTTTTTACTGCCACTGTCTTTGTGCTGGTACTTACCCAGGCAACTGGTCCTGTTTGCCGACTCCTGGAAACCTTTTAGACATTTACAAGTCTTGTTGTCTTGTGACAGTTGAAATCCATTTGCACAATTACAATAGTAACTTCCTGGACTATTGACACATGTATGGCTGCAGTTGTTTTTGAATTTCTGAATACATTCATCAATATCTGTGTGAGGAAAAATTAATACAAGGTTATGCATTTATAACGGAAAATGACTTCTCAATGTCAATTTTAACAAATTGCTGCTTAGCATCAACTACGCCAGGATAATTCTGCGTCTAAGAAATTTCGACGACTTGAAAAAAAAAAATTCGTGCATTATTTTGACTGAATACAAAAGTTAACGAAACAATGAAAAGATTGTAAAAATATGAAAATAAGAAAAAGGTAAATGAAGAACTTTCAAGCTACATTTACCCCTAAGCTTATGCCAAAAGTTTTCGAACAACTTTCGAGAATTATCAAGATAGCAACGATCAATTTCAGCAATAAAGGTAAAGTGACGATAATGAAGCTTATGACGAGGTTTATGGGCTAAACTGTTGTTCCTATAGGACCAGTACATTTTGAAAGGGGGAAAGAATAAAACATAAAAGCCATCAATATATGATCAAACATCTATTCAAAAACATTTGTATTAATAGTATTACCCTCGCAGATCCCCTTTTTGTTCAACTGAAAACCTGTTGGGCATTTGCAATAAAAACTCCCGGCGGTATTGATACAGTCGTGGCTGCATCCACCTTTGTTGTACTGTTCACATTCATTTACGTCTGCGTTGAAAACATAATGAAAAAATCGATAAATGCTGAAAATAACTGTCAAATTAACCAAACAAAAAATACTGTAAATAAATAATAATACTAATAATAACAATAATAACAAAAAAAGACAATCAAAACAAAACAAAACAAAAAAAAACAAGAGAAAGAGCACTGGCGAGCAAATAATGAAATAATAGTCGCCTTTGGAAGTGTCGGTTTTTTTCGTTGCTTCTCAATGCAGCGATCATCAGAGGGATTCATCTCCACCATGCGCTCACATTATTTCCGTAAATTGAGAAGATCAAGATAGGACAAGAGTAATCCGTCATTTGAAATTTCTCAAACTCTGTGGCACATAAACTGCAAAAAGGGCATATTATCATACCGTATGATATTACTCTACGACCAATCAGCTGGTGCTACCAAAATTTAGTCACAGCAGTACTGACTTGTGAGCGTTTGTGCAGGCCCAATCTTAGTGCAAATATGTAAGAGAGAATGTCTGAGGGTTATATAAGATTGTGCCTGGTGTCAAGTTACTATTTCCACCACTATTATCTTTACCATTACTACATATTCAATTTCCTCCAAGATTATTTCAATATCAATCACATTTTTATCAAAGTTGCAATAAATGTTACCCTTGCAGGTCGTCCTATTGTACAACTGAAACCCAGTTCGGCATTTGCAACTATAGCTTCCATAGGTATTTTCACAGTCGTGGCTACATCCACCTTTATTGTGTTGTTTACATTCATTTACGTCTGCGTGGAGAATATATAACAGAAACAGTCAATAACTTAAGGAAAGGAATGTTGAACACCAAAAAAAGAGAAAAGAAAAAGGAAAAGTAACTAAAGAAAGAAAGAAAAACAACAACAACAACAACAAAACAAAGCACAACAAAAATACGAAACACCATTTTATTTGTTTCGATGCATGATGGTCATGCAACAATCGGGTAAGTGTGTTGGCTGTTCCAATATCAAATATTATCAAATATACTCTGAGTTCAGACTCTATTTTCGTTTCTCTTTACCCGGAGAGACTGATATAAACCTTGTATGAAATGTCCCCCACTATATATATATATATATATATATATATAAGAGGTTTGAACTTGAAATCCGTAAAACAGTGCTCAATACATAAAGTAGAGCGAGCATACGTATGGTTGACGGAAGAAAACAAGTAACTACATAAGTATCCCTACAAGCCTGTTTCGTGGTTGCCCACTCATCAGGGGATTTTAATGAGAATAACTTTACCATTACTTATATACTAGACTGATTTACATAATTTATTCAGTGCCAGGTTCGGCAGATGATAAGGAATTTTTCTTTAAGACATAAGTTGCATCGTTTGCTTGAGCTGTTGTACGGCAGGTGTGAAGATAGAATGCGCCAGGCGATAGAGTAGTTGATGTTGTTTTCTTTAAGAGTCCAGACGTGTTTGCTGAGTTCAGTGGAGTTTCTGTTCTTTGCGTGACGGAATGATGACATGTGGTTGCTGTATCTTGTTTTGAAGTCGTTCGCAGTAAGCCCGATGTACGTTTCTGTCGTGTTGGTGTCTTTTCGTGTGACAGTAGCTTGGTAGATGACAGCAGGCTGAAGGCAGTTCCCGTTGAGCGGGCATGAGTTCTTTTGTCGGCAGTTGCATTTCTTGTTGTTGTTGTTGATGATGGTGGGGGCGGAGTCGGCGGCAGCGGTGGTAGCATTAGTCTTAGCATGGGCAGTCAAGATTCGTTTGTTGTGGTTGTCGATGATTTGTTTTGCGTTGTTCATGCAGCTGTAGCTGATCTTGATGGTGTTTCTGTTAAAGATTTTTCGTAGCTTGTGGTCCTTGGGGAAGTGCTTGTCTATTAAGGCGAGGAATTTACGTCCAATGTTGGTACTGGTGTTCTTGCCAAAGGGTGGGTTGTACCATAGAATGTTATTGCGTTGTCGGTTTTTCGGTTTGCGTGTATGGGTGGGTTCGTAGTGAAGCGTGCAGCTGTATCCACTGTCGTCGAGTGCTTTCTGGTAGGCGGGCGCGGCTTGGTCGAAGGAGGCTTTGTCGGATGAGAGAGATGATAAGCGTCTGTTGATACCTGCGGGAATGCTTTTTGTAGTGATTGGTGGATGGTTGCTCTCGTGGTGGACGTATTGTAATGTACTGTTAGGCTTTGTATACGGCTGGAAGGTGTTACGGCTAAGGTTGAATGTGACGTCTAGGAAGTTGATTACTTGTTTGTTAGCTTCTATGGTGATGCGCAAACCGTTAGCGTTGAAGATGCGGCATATTTCTTTCTTGATGTTCTCAGTTTCTCTAAGCGTAGAGTCAGTGATGGCAAGTCCGTCGTCCCGGTAGAGTCCTACGTTGATGTTGAGGTTCTGTAGTTGTGAAAGGAGGAAGCTACCGACAAGTTCACATGTTTCAGCGCCGTCGCAGCTCCCCATAGTTACGTCGAATGTAGTGTCGCCTTTCTTTTTGCCAGGGTTGTTGCTTGTAAATTAAGATTGAGCTTTTAGCGTGAATAATTATTTTCTTTTCATCAGCGGTGATGTTGTCATAATCAGATGCGAAATCGAGTGCTTAGTTCAGGAGGTCTAGGCTGATGGATGGGTAGAATTCTTCGATGTCGAAACAGATAAAGCTGGAGTTATGTTTATTGTCGATGGATCGGAACCAGTTGATAACCGCTGAGGTGTTTTTCCATTGGTTGAGGTCGTATTTATTCGCAATGCTGTTGTTTATGCGGTCAAGGATCTGTTTGCTAACTTTGCCTATTTCAGATTTTGTTGGATTGATAAGTCGGCATGTCGGTTTGTTTGCGAAGTTCGGTTTGTGATCTTTAAGTGTTATAAATGCGTCTTTGTCGGCCGTAGTGTCCACTCTGTCATCGATTTCAAGCTTTGTCGCGATGTCTTTGTTTGTTTTATGGATTGCTCGTGTTGTGGTCGGTAGGGCTTTTTTGTAGGATTTCGTTACGTTTTTCTCTAGTAAATCGTTGTATGTCGCTGGCTCGAGTTTGTAGAGGTTAGTAGTTTTATCTGCCGGAATCAGTAGGTTTGGTTCGTTTTTGATGCGATCGGTGTCTTCTTTTAGCTTGTTGAGGAAAGGGTTGTTCACTTGCTTAAATTTTACAGACTGTATCATCTTACACATGTCATCCTCGAAGTCCTTTAGTTCTTCAATAGGAGGAGGGTTCTTAGTCGATTTGAAGCCGTAGTTTTCCCTGGTTGTCGAAGACGTGCTTGGGTTTAGAAAGAAGTGGGCTTTCCAGCGCATTCTGCGTAGGAACTGCTCGGTCTTTTCGATTAGTCGTTTGAGATAATCGTTGCGTGATGGTAAGGGAATATTCTTGGTGGAGTAGCCGAGATTGAATTTTTCCATATTGCGGATTCTCGTAGAGTGCTCAACAAGGTGGACTCGGAGCAGTATAAGAGGTTTGAACTTGAAATCCGTAAAACAGTGCTCAATACATAAAGTAGAGCGCTCTACTTTATGTATTTATGTATTATATATACTCGCTCTACTTTATGTATTGAGCACTGTTGTACGGATTTCAAGTTCAAACCTCTTATACTGCTCCGAGTCCACCTTGTTGAGCACTCTACGAGAATCCGCAATATGGAAAAATTCAATCTCGGCTACTCCACCAAGAATATTCCCTTACCATCACGCAACGATTATCTCCAACGACTAATCGAAAAGACCGAGCAGTTCCTACGCAGAATGCGCTGGAAAACCCACTTCTTTCTAAACCCAAGCACGTCTTCGACAACCAGGGAAAACTACGGCTTCAAATCGACTAAGAACCCTCCTCCTATTGAAGAACTAAAGGACTTCGAGGATGACATGTGTAAGATGATACAGTCTGTAAAATTTAAGCAAGTGAACAACCCTTTCCTCAACAAGCTAAAAGAAGACACCGATCGCATCAAAAACGAACCAAACCTACTGATTCCGGCAGATAAAACTACTAACTTCTACAAACTCGAGCCAGCGACATACAACGATTTACTAGAGAAAAACGTAACGAAATCCTACAAAAAAAGCCCTACCGACCACAACACGAGCAATCCATAAAACAAACAAAGACATCGCGACAAAGCTTGAAATCGATGACAGAGTGGACACTACGGCCGACAAAGACGCATTTATAACACTTAAAGATCACAAACCGAACTTCGCAAACAAACCGACATGCCGACTTATCAATCCAACAAAATCTGAAATAGGCAAAGTTAGCAAACAGATCCTTGACCGCATCAACAACAGCATCGCGAATAAATACGACCTCAACCAATGGAAAAACACCTCAGCGGTTATCAACTGGTTCCGATCCATCGACAATAAACATAACTCCAGCTTTATCTGTTTCGACATCGAAGAATTCTACCCATCCATCAGCCTAGACCTCCTGAACAAAGCACTCGATTTCGCATCTGATTATGACAACATCACCGCTGACGAAAAGAAAATAATTATTCACGCTAAAAGCTCAATCTTAATTTACAAGCAACAACCCTGGCAAAAGAAAGGCAACACTACATTCGACGTAACCATGGGGAGCTACGACGGCGCTGAAACATGTGAACTTGTCGGTAGCTTCCTCCTTTCACAACTACAGAACCTCAACATCAACGTAGGACTCTACCGGGACGACGGACTTGCCATCACTGACGCTACGCCTAGAGAAACTGAGAACATCAAGAAAGAAATATGCCGCATCTTCAACGCTAACGGTTTGCGCATCACCATAGAAGCTAACAAACAAGTAATCAACTTCCTAGACGTCACATTCAACCTTAGCCGTAACACCTTCCAGCCGTATACAAAGCCTAACAGTACATTACAATACGTCCACCACGAGAGCAACCATCCACCAATCACTACAAAAAGCATTCCCGCAGGTATCAACAGACGCTTATCATCTCTCTCATCCGACAAAGCCTCCTTCGACCAAGCCGCGCCCGCCTACCAGAAAGCACTCGACGACAGTGGATACAGCTGCACGCTTCACTACGAACCCACCCATACACGCAAACCGAAAAACCGACAACGCAATAACATTCTATGGTACAACCCACCCTTTGGCAAGAACACCAGTACCAACATTGGACGTAAATTCCTCGCCTTAATAGACAAGCACTTCCCCAAGGACCACAAGCTACGAAAAATCTTTAACAGAAACACCATCAAGATCAGTTACAGCTGCGTGAACAACGCAAAACAAATCATCGACAACCACAACAAACGAATCTTGACTGCCCATGCTAAGACTAATGCTACCACCGCTGCCGCCGACTCCGCCCCCACCATCATCAACAACAACAACAAGAAATGCAACTGCCGACAAAAAGAACTCATGCCCGCTCAACGGGAACTGCCTTCAGCCTGCTGTCATCTACCAAGCTACTGTCACACGAAAAGACACCAACACGACAGAAACGTACATCGGGCTTACTGCGAACGACTTCAAAACAAGATACAGCAACCACATGTCATCATTCCGTCACGCAAAGAACAGAAACTCCACTGAACTCAGCAAACACGTCTGGACTCTTAAAGAAAACAACATCAACTACTCTATCGCCTGGCGCATTCTATCTTCACACCTGCCGTACAACAGCTCAAGCAAACGATGCAACTTATGTCTTAAAGAAAAATTCCTTATCATCCGCCGACCTGAACTCTCTACACTTAACAAACGTAATGAACTCGTGTCTTCCTGCCGCCACAGAAACAAAGCCCTCTTGCACAACAACTGATGTAACGAACCTCGCACTGAATAAATTATGTAAATCAGTCTAGTATATAAGTAATGGTAAAGTTATTCTCATTAAAATCCCCTGATGAGTGGGCAACCACGAAACAGGCTTGTAGGGATACTTATGTAGTTACTTGTTTTCTTCGTATATATATATATATATATATATATATATATATATATATATATATATATATATACGAAATTTTCATTTCCTTAAATTTAAAAAATAAATTTTTCTCTCTAAATTCTGGTAAAATGCCAAATTTTGTGTTTACTAAGGTATTAAAGTTTTATAACCGCAATTCGAGAAATTTATTCAACAAATTTCAGGGGAAAAAAAATGCTACTTACCCAAGCACATGGTCCTGTTTTCCGACTCCTGGAAACCTTTTAAACATTTACAAGTCTTGTTGTCTTGTGACATTAGGAATCCATTTGGACACTTACAATAGTAGCTTCCTCGAGTATTGACACATTCATGGCTGCAGTCGCCTTTAAACTTCTGGTGACATTCATTTACATCTGTGCGAGAAATCAAATTGGCACAGTATGATGCACTGCTCTGCAATAAGAAAGGCTTGTTCTTTCTTTGTAGAGAAGGAAAAATAAGAACCTCGAACTTATATACAACTGTTTATATATATATATATATATATATATAAAATTTTCTCCCTTTCTGATTGGCATACATCCCATGGCTTGTTTTTAATAGCCAGCTAACGTTAACCTAAATTTGAAAGATCTTTGCTTGCATCTTATACAATAAACGTCAATAGTAAGCTAGAAGACTGAAAAAGGAACAAAGTAGAGGCGCTGTGGGTCGGTTGTTTTGAAGCCGCAGAGTTGGGAAAATGGTGGGAGATTTCACACGATAAGCTTAAACAAAATAGTCGGAAATACTGCGGCCTCACAACTGAAGCGAAAATGCTCAAAAATTTCTACTGGAATGACGAATGACGAGAATTGCGCATGACGAAAATTGCGAGATTCAGACAAATATTTTGAAGACGGGGAATTTAACATTCTATGTAGGCATGTCTTGGGCTTGTACACTTACAGTAGTTTAATAGATTGAATGAATAAAACACTAATTGAATTCGGCTTTCGTTTCATATCAAGAATTATGATATGCAAACGATACTCAGTCCTATCAAATAAAATGTCGAGCATTCTTAAGATAGTAATGATCAATTTCAGTGAGAATGTATGAGGGTTACTTAAGTTGTGCCTGGTGTCAAGTTACCACTTCCACTACCACTATCTTAAACAGTACTACATATTTAAGTCATGTAACAATCAGGTAAGTGTTGTTAATGTAATTGCCATCCTTGAAGTATCCAACATTAAACGGATGTATCTTTAACAATCCCAATCTTTCCGTTGCTTACCAAGGCAGAGGTTTCTGCCGAACCATACTGGGAAGAATCCTGTTTTGCATTTGCAAGAAAAGCTCCCTTGGGTGTTTACACATTCGTGATGACAGCCACCGTTCTTATCTTCACATTCATTGATATCTGTATTGGGTACAAACTATGATTACGGTTAAAATTTAAATGTTTGCTTTGGCCGTTGTACTGAATGACATGTATATTTATATATAAAGAACACGTCTTGCATTTTCCTGTAGCTACTACTACCGCTACTACCACTACTACCACCGCAACCACCTCTTAACCACCACTAAACTCTGTAAAATGATGGACCCCTAAAACTTATGGGAAAAATTGAACTTGACAATTTGAATGACCGTCTTGAGGTCTTAACGCCGTGACACTCAATGTAACAAAACGCTACTCTATTTCATTTTCGTTATTTTTGAAAAACAACAACAACAACAACAACAACAATAATAATATAATAATAATAATAATAATAAAGGTGGTAATTATAACATTGTGTCTACAAGTGTTTCGTTAGAGATAATGCAGTTTTCAAAAAACCTGAGGCTCGTTGTGCGTGTGTCTGTTTATGGAATGTAAATGATTTCATTTCCTTGCTTACCAATGCAGCTCCTTCCACTTCTGTCGTATGACGGTATTTTGAACCCTGTTTTGCATTTACAGTAGTAGCTTCCTTGGGTATTCATGCATTGCTGATGACAGCCACCATTGCCACGCTTGCACTCATTGATATCTGTATTAAGTCCAATAGCGATTAACTTAAATCATCAGTTATCCAGAAACCGGATAATCTTAAGATACAGCTTTAACTTCAGCACTTACCCAAGCATTTGTACTTTTTATTCCTTTGAAATCCTCTCTCACATGCTGCATTTCAGACATAAAAGAATAACAAGCCATACTTTTTGTTAAGCTAAGGTTTAATATCATAACGTGATCAAATTGTTCAGTGATGGCTCTTGGTATTATACATGTATTTGCATAGAAAGCAACTTGAAATTCACTGTAATGAAATTCAGAAAATTTTGAGTGTCAAAATAATTGTCATTCTCAGACAGCGCAAAGGAGGTGTGCTAATTTTTAATTAATATGTAGATAGGTCTTTTGATATATATTCAGCTGTATTATGGGGAAAAGCGTAGATGATAGGAACGAGCAATGAATAAAAAGACTACCCCCTTTAATTAGTAGAGTAAAACGTTTTAGTTACATTACCTCGTATAACAGAAGTCCAACGTTTGGGATACCCAAAGAATCTATTGTGTTGTAGAATAACCCATGGATTGTTCCCTTCCTTTCGAACAGCTATCTGGTTCAAGAAAGTAAATATATAGAGGGTGTTTCAAAACTTCGTTCCGATTTTAAATTGTATTTTGCGAAAAGCATTTCATGTTTCTTCAGGTAAATTTGAACTGATTCAAGTAAGAAATTTATGTAAATAACCTTTCAAAGCATTTTAAAGAAATTATGATATTTTTGAAGTTTTGCCCCAAATGTGCATAAACACGAGTTTTTTCCCGCCATATTTTTTCCTGCCCATTTGGTGCGTTTTCTATTTTCGTTTTTTTTGCCGTTTCCTTTATTTTCTGTACTCTTTCACGAAAATGAAGGCCTGCACTGTTTGTGCTAACGTTCAGACATCTATTTTTTACGGTCTTCTGGCCATTCAGTCACAGAAATTGCTAAACTGTTGAACATGTCTCAACGATATAGGTGAACAAGTGGTCAAAAATAAAGACTTTAGAAGACAAACCAAGGAGTGGAAGGCCGTTCTTTTTGTTTAAATGTGTAAGAAATATTATCGAAAAAGCTGTAAGTATATGCGTAATAATTCTACAAGACGGAAACGTAAAAAAAATTCAACTTCACAATTTCAAAGTTTCGAGCACAACGGTATGAAGATATATGACCAACAAAGACTGGAAAGCCTTGAAGAGAAAAAAGTGGCGCACATGCAGACATGGTGCCAGAAGGATTTGGAAACTTTATAGCAAAAGACGACCGGCCGGCAACTCACGTGATGTGAACCCCCTAGAGACCATCTGGACTATCTCTAACGAGACAACATACAAAGATACAGCCCCAAAAACTGAACAGGCTAAGACAGTGACTACGCTTCGCCTGGAAAAATGTGCCTTGAGACACGCTTTGGCAGCTCATACGTTCTATACCTCGCCACTTATAAAATGTCAGACAACATCAAGGAAGACATTCTGGTTACTCATATTTCAGTTATTCAATGTTAAATAAATAATTAACAACGTACTTAGTTTTCACAAAAGGTATTTTTAATAATCAGTGAAATTTAAGCGAAGAAAAAATCGGAACGAACTTTTGAAACACCCTGTATATTCAGAATGTCATGCCAGGCCCCATCTTCAATTGGACATGGAAGATTCAGATACTTTCGCGACTCGAGGACGAGGACGTGAAAAAATAGCACGTTTTTTAATAGTCTTTGTAAGATGGGTCTTTAAATCTTACTTTCTCTATACTAAGAGCAGCAGGAAGTTTACCGAAGATTCCCTAGAGAAAAAAGAAAACGAGAGAAGGCCAAGGGTAACAGAATAGAAACGCAAGGATTACTTAGAAGTAAAGTCTTTCACAACTGCAAATAATTTTTCAAAAAGATGGATCTAATTCCCCTGAAACTTCAAATTAAAACGTTGTACAATATTAAGCCCATGGCATCAGTTATCAAAAGGCTGAGAGAAAAAGCAACGAAGAATTAAAAGGCGAGAAAAAACTAACATGGAAATGAAGAAATTCTGGTCCAGGGTGGATTAGAGTAATCCACAGTTTGTAACTCAGCTAATGGCTTATAATATCTCGCATCGCTGTAAAGCGTAGTTTACCAAAACGCATTCCTTAATGACTCTGTAAACGTTAATCAAAATCGCCTGAAAACATCGAAATAAGGGTGTTTTGAATGGTGTACAAGCAAACTTTTGCATCTATATATTCTATATTCGGTCTATTATTTCACAAGTGTTTTGTTTGCTTGTCTTTTGGCATCGTTGGCCAGTCCTTGGTGCCTATTTCTGCTAATTTTGAAAGGACGTGCCCTGATACTGACCTCACTTAAATAGTACCTCCGCGAATCGTCTTCTCCTGGAATGATTTTAACTCCTGCCAAATTACCAACATTCTTAGCCCGCATGTAGTATAATTGCGATCTTCAATAGAAATAAACAAATAAATAAATAAAATAAGATTAAAACAATAGTAGATGATTTCCTGCCAAAATTAAAATTACGTAGCATATTTTCAGCCGACGGTACGACTTTTCCAAAAATTCTCAAAGTTTTCGGTTGGACGTTACATTCCACCCAGTGTATTTGATTGCAAATTAAGTTCAATGGAACCTATAGGAGCGATTTCACTCACGCGGCTAGCAGCTATGGACGTTTCCATTACAAACTGAAATGCTGCGAAAAAAGCTTCGACCGGGAATAAAATTGCATTTCATATGGTTTGAATCAGTTTTGGTTCCTTTCGAATATAACTGATTCCGATTATTTATATTTGGCATTAATGGAGTCAAATAGGGCAACATGGTAATCGATGAAATCTAAACTTTTAACCAACATATCAAGTGAACCCTTCTGCTTTTAATGGTAAAAAAAGAAAATTTTCCAGCAGCTTTTTGTCATAACCATTACCCATTGGCCGTAAAAAAGCACAATATCAGCCATGAACCGTAAATGCAATGCCTCTACCCCATTGAGTCACTCTTTGCTGAGAGTAAAAAATACATCTTTCTGCTGAGGATTGGTAATCAAATTTGATATACGTTACACCTGGTATGCATAGTCACTCTTACCTTCCACCTCCCCCACGAGGTATTAGCCTTTCTTCTCCAGTCTCACCATCTTCGCCTACCAACTTAATCTTTGCGTCTTTTCTTAGGGGGTGAGAGTATTCGTAACTGGACCTGCGCCTAAAGCCAGTGGTAATTTCCACCATGTAACCTGTAAAATCATACGTTTATAGTAAGATAGAAAACATCGAAATGAACTTTAAACATTAGGTGATGCACACATGCGTCTATACTCGATGTATAGTATAGTATTTTTTCACGTTTTTTCTCCTCGACGGTTATGCACCTGAAATGTCACTCTGGTCACTCCTGGGTTATTCTGGCCTACCAATCATCTCCAGCTAATGACTTGTAATTTTCCTTTTCTCCCAAGATTTTTACAAAACATTGTGTTATCTAGAATTTAGTAGAACTGACAATATAAAAGAGCATGCTTTTTTACGAACAGAAAAATAAAAATGGCTGCTAGAGGTAAGATTCCTGGGAACAAAGAGAATAATTCTGATAGAGGGAGACAATTTATAAAATGCACATACTAATAGAGAGGAGTAGTCTTTACGTCACGTTGCCATGGTAGCAAAATTTTTGGATGACAACAAACAGAAAATTAGTAATGGTAACAGGACTGAGTGTAGTCCAATTCGGTCTGTAATCGTACGAGTGATTAACAAAATCGGACTGCCGCGTAGCGGGAGTCCGATTTGTTTAATCACGAGTATGATTACAGACCGAATTGGACGACACGAAGTTCTGTTACCAATTAATCATAACTTTAACAAAATTTGTGACATAATAGGCTATTTTGTAAATCAAAACACAAGAAATTCGAAATTTTGTTTTGCTAGCAGTGAAAAAAAAAGCTATTTAAGCGCGCGCGTGATGGCGCGTACTGTCCAATTACTTAGGCATGACGCGTACTGTCCTATTAAACTGTCCAATTAAGGCTGAAATCAGGGCAGTTGATAGCCAATCAGATTTGACAATTTTGTTATAGTTATGATTAACTTAAAAAGAGAATTCGCACCGTTTCAAACTTCATCGATCTTATTCAATTTTATTTAATTTGTCAAAAGTTGGCGAAATTCTCTGGGTTGAATCCGAAAGGACCGTATCTAAGTAAAAACAGTTTGTCCACTGCCTCGTACCCAGTCGTCTGTCTCTCGATGAAAATTTTCGTGCAAAGGAAGGCGGGAAGGAGAAAAGGGCGAGGCGTCGCTCCGCCTCACATTTTTCTCTTTCCCATAGTCCTTTGCGCTTCATCATCAGTGACTCGCGTGTCACTCGCGTTTTCGCTCTCCTCTGTGTGAAAAACGCGGCGCCTGAGGAGGAGGCAGGTGTGTCCCCTAAAAAAACTGGAATGTCCACCAGAACATTGTTGACTGGGACAGTTTGTTCTGCTAAAGTGAAATTCTGGATCAGACACTGCGGTCAAGAGTTGTTACTTGATGTCCTGTAACTCGACACCTAGCGCTAATCCTAATACCTTCAGTCCCACGAACATACACACAAATGCACCTGCAAATGTGGTTCTATGTTGGATACTAAAACAAACCAGGATTCCACATGCCACAACAAAATATTTCCTCGCTTCCGGAATCCGGATGATCTTATATCCGACGAGTGGGCGCTTGCTAAAAATGTGTATCCGGTAATGATGAACAATGTACATGTGACGACTAGGAAAGTTAAGACAATGTCGCAAAACCAGCCCAAATTGTTTCAAACAGACACAGAACACAAAATATAGCAAACGCAAGATTTTTGTATTTTGTATGCTCAAAGATAAGCTAAGGCTATGTTTATACGGTACTGGATAGCTTTTCCGCCGCCACAAAAATCATACCAGATAGGGCTTCTGTTCACACACAAGAACGGTTGTGGCGCCGCGATTTCTGTGACGGAGCAAAGCTGCGCCGCGCCGATCTCTTACGTGAAGAGTCACATGTTGAATTGATGTTCATACTATATCGGATAGCTTGCCAAAAATAGCTATCCAGTATAGTGTGAACAAAGCCTAAGATTAGGCGATATTTTTTTTGGCCATTTTTTACATCCAGATTAACTAGAATATTGCTCTGATTTCAGTGTCTACGGAAATGAATATGTGTTCAGAGTGTTTTTGTATGGTCTCCAGGTCCCCAGAAAAAGAAAAAACAGAACAAAACAAAAATTTCACACAAGCCGCATTCTAGTTTCATGCTGGTCAGCGTCTCCTAAAGAAGTTAAAGTTGGTTCATATTTGTTGTTTTATGCTGTATGCTGTCCTGTCACATAAGAAAACGTTTCTTTTACTACTAAGAAAACGTATACGAGAAGTGACCCCTCCGTATCTGATAGCCCCGATTCTTCAAAGCATTTTGCACACTACTCATTACAAAAACTAATCCATACCTATTTCCCCTTGCTTTCCATCAGGTTTCTGGCGAGTCGTTCGAAGATGGTAATTGCCAAGTAATGGATCCGATGTTGTTCC